ACAAGAGAAAAGGGAGCAGGAGGGTGGAAGTAGGAGGAGGAATGGGGAGTGGAGAAAGTCAAAGCATATGACATACACAGGTTTAAAAATAATCACAATTTAATCCAATATTCAGTATGGTGGATCAGCAGTAATTAAAAAATAACACAGAAAAAAGTGGCCAATGGTGTCAAAGATCCCTACTAGCAGTGTGCTCCAGGAGTGCTCCAGGAAATGTGCTCCTACAGGACCCTGTCTTTTCCCTTCACAGTTGGATATAGAGGATGGAGAACTGTAGCCACAGGAAGGGTTACATTTAAATCAAAGGAAGACATTTCCAACAGCTTGAGGTATGGGTGACAAAACTGGGGCTCTTAGGGAAGCTTTAGAATCTGATACTTTAAACGACGACCCCTGCCTATGTGAGGCGCATATAACTGGGGAGCCCTGGAGTTAAGCATCCTGGATATGCTTCTCACCCTTGGTCGAATTTTCTCCCTAGTTAGCTCTCCACACCTTCAACTGCCACTTCTCTTTGCTTCACACCAGCCTATCACCCTTCTTGGTGTCATGTCACCTTCTGCTGTCTTTCCACAGCTATTTTGCCCCTTCTGTCATTAAGCCTACATTCCTCTTTTTCAGTTCTCACTCCCAAAACATGCCTCTTTTGGTCATAATATTTTCCTCCCATCCATTCCTTCTGCTGGAACTGTGACTGTTCAGAAAACACTTGCCTCTGCTTTTGTCCAGATTCTTTTTTTTTTTTTTAATGTATTTGGTATAGGGTCTCACTATGCAGCTAGGACTCACAGTGATCTTCCTGTTGTCAGCTCCCCACCAGCACTGGAATTGCAGGCATGCACCACCATGTCCAGTCTTGGTGGCCAGCTCAGCGTACCCGGGAGCAGGGCTGCTGTGGTGTGTGATTGTCCAGATTCTTAAATTCTATGAATTCAATCTATTCTTCCAGCTCAATGAAATTACTTTTTCCTTCTTGAAATCTTCTCTAAACTACCTAGCCCTTCCTATACTCAAGCTCCTTTTTCTTCATTAAGGCTGTATCAAAAACAAACACGTGGTAGAGATACAATGAACAGCAACAATAACAACAAAGGTCTTAATAATGGAGCTTAGAGTTTAGCAATAGCAGACATACAATGAACAAATCAAGCAATAGATATATAACATGTTAACTAAAGATGGCACACAGTATGTGGGCTATGAGCTGCACACCCAAGGTGGTGTTCCATGTAGACTATGACATTTGGTTAGGGACAGTACTATAAAGAAAAATAAGTAGATAGGGAGAGAGAGAGAGAGAGAGAGAGAGAGAGAGAGAGAGAGAGAGAGAGAGAGGCAGAGAGACAGAGACAGAGAAAGGGGAGAGACAGAGGGAGAGAAGGAGAAAGGGAGCGAGACAGAGACAGAGAGAAAGACAGAGGCAGAAACAGAGACAGAGACAGAGAGAATGTTATGGGAGGTGTTTGTGGTCTAGGGAGGTAATCTCTGCTGAGATACTCTTTAAATAGGCCTGAGTGAAGTAAGGAAAAACCATATAAATACCTTCTAGATAGAACAAAATAGCGTTAGACCCTGAAGCACCAGGCGTGAGTCCCTTGGGTTGTTTGTCTCTGCCACTTCCTTTGTCCACACTTTTACCTGGTCACCTAGCTTTGTTCATTCATTCAGTAAAAATTCAGCAAGCATCCATAGTAGTACCATGCAGCATGACGATTTCCCTGCTGTTTTCTCACCCCTAGGATTACATACCACTTCCAGTCAGATTATGGAGTGTGCTGAGAAAGTGCAACAGAAGTCAAGTGGGCTGCAGTCCACTGAACACATCTTAGGAATCCACTGGCCACCCAGCCCAAGCTCTCAGCATGGACAGCATCTTGGATGAGGTGCTACAACCATCCCTAGCTTCAGTTTCACCATAAAACTTTGTTTCCCATTTATGTAATGCAGAGTTCCAGTGAGAATGGTGGAAAACAGGAAGACTCAAGCAATGACCAGTGAATCGATACATGGTAACCAAGTCCTGAGGGAGAGGGACTGGGCTGAGGCTCCAAGACAGGGCACACACAGAGGCAGTGCTCAGTAAAATTGGAATGTAATAAGTGCTTGATTACTGGGGCTACAGGAACATGCTGAAGGAATTGAGAGGAAAGAAATCACTGTGGTCTGATGTGATTGGAAAAATATTCAGAAAACATGGGGCTTAACAATGTTGTGAAGCAGAGTCAAAAAGATGAAAGGGTAAGACAGACAGATGGCAAGTTCAAGGGCCTGGAGATGGAGCAGGGATGACACAGATGGGAGCACTGAGGAAGTAGACTGGGGCCAGAGGTCCCACCAGAGAAGCTTAGCTATGCCCATCAGGCCTGAGAGAGCATCCAGACAGCAAGTTTAGGGGCTCCTTCGGGAAAGTGTGAAACACCTTCTACTCCCACACTGTCCCTGAGCTGCGCTCATCGGGATCTCTTACACAGTGGCAGCAATGCTCCTTCCTAAGGCAAAAGTCATTGGCCAGTTACAAGGTCTCACATGTGAGCCCTCACCCAGGCAGCAGGCCCTGCTAGTTCCCGTCCACCTCCTTGATCCTCGCATAGTACCTGCCTCATACAAGATGCTGCAAATTCTTACTCAGTTCATAAAAAAGAAATCAGAGTGCCTAGTGCCTCTTTCACTTGAGCTTCAGCACCCTCTGGGGCAGGAAAGAAAAATATTCTTATTTCTTCTTTTTACAGATGAGAGAAGTAAAGACCAATCAGGGCAAACAATTTGTCCAAGTTTCCTTAAGTACTGTGTTATTGACTTTGTAGTTAAAAAAAAAAAAAAGAAAGAAAGAAGTCACTAAACTGGAAGCCAGAAGACTAGGAACTAGCAAAGTGAGAGCATGGCTTTGCATCTGTCATCTCTTCTGCACATTCGTTTATCTTGCCCATTAAAGAGATATAGAATCAAATTCTGTTGATTCCAAGATTGTCACAAATGCACCTGATTGTCTTTGAAGCCAGACCGCATTTTATTTTGCGGCATTTCTCTTAGATTCCATGAAGTAAGGAAACCTCTGTTCTGCTTTTTGGAATGTGAATGCACACATTCTTTAGAAGATGAGAGATGCTGTGCAAATAAGGAAGGCTAGTGAGGCGGAGGTCATCGCTGGCCTCCCTCAAGATCTGCTCCCACAATTCCTGACCATGGGGCAAAGCCAGCCCGGAAGTGAGCTCTGCGGGCAGCCCCTGAGCAGGCCTTGTGAGAAGGAGAAGATCAAATGGCATTATCCCAGCAAGCAGACACGGGCATCACTGAGACACCTGGTACAAATCTGTGCTATTGATTAAGGGACTTAGTGGTCTGAGAATCTACGAAAAGATAAAAGAAAGGAAATGCAATCATTTTCCACAAGCCCAGACACAGATCAGGCATTCACCGACTTCTTTTCCCTGTTTATGCATTCCTGTATCTTCATGGGGCTAAGTTCTAGGGAGACTCCCTTTTGACACCAGGCCCCATCCTCCAGGCCACTACACATTGTCCTTTGACTTCAGCAGCCAGTGGTCAGACCATTGCACAGGGGGCTGGCACTCCCCGCTGAGTGCTGTGGACACCTTGTGGGTTAGAGTTCTAAAACTGCCTACATGTCTGTAACTGGCTCCTGCCACCCACATTTTTGAAAAACAAACAACATCAATAACAGGTCAGAATAGGAGTTTTTGTGGAAGAGATGGGGGTGGATGAAATGAAAACCAGGGCTGGGAAAAAGGTAAAGCAGGTGGGGACCTGGGTAAACAATGGGGCAGAGCTTAAGGAGGAGCACACTGCCTGGAGAACACTTGAGTACCTTCTCACGTTTCAGATTTGCCACTCTTCCCTACTAAATCTTGGACAAATCATTGAATATCCCTGCACTGTGATACCTCTACACACATAAAGCACTAACTGGTTTTGTGCTGAATTGTAACACTTTCTGCAGCACTTAATTTTGAATCTCTCTACACATACTTTGTCATTTCATTTTCTCATGACTGATTGATATTTTATTGTTATAATCATTATAATGGGCCATAAACAGGCGGTCTCAAGAGTATAACATGATGAGGAGCCTACTCACTGACAAGCAACAGGATGCAGCTACCTAGAAATTAGAATGCTGCAGAAATTTAGATTTTTCTTTCTATTCTTCTTATATTAAGTTTTTAAGTGTTAGTGTCCTAAGTTTAAAAAAAGAAGATGAGAATTCTTATCAGCCCGCTCTTAGAATTACATCAGCACAAGAGTGGCATGTCTCCATGTTAGGGGATGTATTTATTTTAAAAAGTAGGCTTCAGAGAAGTCAAGATGGTCTTTTAAATGGTTTAAATGGTTTTCAGAACTATTTAAACAGAAAAATAGAATGGCCCTGCATGAAAGAGGAAAACAAAATGAAGTCTTGCTATTAGAACAGAATCAAAGGGAATGAGAGGATAAACTGATTGGCAAAGGTTACATTTCATGGGATAGTCCATTGCCAGCATCGAAACTGGAAGTAACATGACCCACCACGTTATTTGTCAATTAAGTGAAGATGAGTTTAGGAAAGCTTTCTAGGATGGTGGAATAAGAACTCTGAAAATATGCTCCTCCATAGGAGTGAAGAGAACACTTCATATTGTGGAAATTAATTTGAGGAGGGGAGCTCTAGAAATTTATCAAATGCTTGTGACAACCTAAAAAGCATTCATTTCCTTAGGAAAAATGATTGAATCTCAGGCTGTGATAGTGATGGTGCTTAAAGTCATCTTATTTTCATCTTCCTCCCCAGCCACACGGTAGCCCTGACAACCCCAATCCCTCAGTCTCACAGAAGCCAGGCCACCACCGTTGACTAATAGAGCTAGAGCCGCCTTGAAGCCCTGGCCTCAGAAGTTGAGGTTTCCTAGAGCAGCCCAGGTCCCATTCACAGAACTAATCTTCATTTTATCTGGCTCACAGCTAACAAACCTGATCTAGAATATTTTTATTATTCTTTTTCCCCAAGGAGGCACACCATTCCTGGAGGTACTACAGTACCAGGTTGATGTGTGGAGTGGACAGAACAAGCTCATATTCCATCTTCCACCTCCAAAACTCCATTTAATGTTCTATCTGTTCTCAGATAGAGGAGATATTAAACTCATAAGAACAGATACTACACTTGATCTTAGACAAAAGGCCGAGAAGCAATTAGAATTTTGGGGGGAGGGGGGTGGGAACCGGTGATTGAACTCAGGTCTGAGCTTGTCAGGGAAGTGCTTATTCTACTGAGCCATTTTCCTGGCCGCTAGAATATTTGTTGAAAAAAAAAAAATGTGGCAACTATTTCAGATTCCTAAAGTGGCCACATGAGACAAGCAAGCATAAGGTTGAGCAAAAGATCTCAATCAAAATTCTGCTAATAAGATTTCCACACAGGCGTTGCAAAGCTCCTCAGAATTCCTACTAATATAGAGTACCATGTAGTGTAGAGCTGTGTACATACCCAGGATAAACTAAGAAGGCATTTACAGCTAACTTTTGCTAACACAAGGCTCATTACAAACAGGAAGTGAAGACTAAGGCAAAGCTAAGAGATAGCCAGAGTCCAGAATCCAATTCTCCCCCACACAAAAACAGAACTTAATTGAAGTAATTGAAGGATATCTATAATTACTGATACTGAGCTACCCAACAGAGATTTCAGAGAGTTCATCGTGAAGATAAAAGAATGAAGATATTATTTATCTTTCAAGAAAAAGAATCTTGAAAGACACTGGAGAAAAGTACTGGAGATCGTGTACAGAGGATCCTCAATGAGATTAACATTGGCATTATTATCAGCAGCCACGGCATAGGCAACATGTTGAAAATGTTGAGGGAAAATGACTGTGAACCAAGATTTCTACATCCACCAAAATGATCTTTCAAAAATGAAGGCAAAATTAAGTAAATAACTGAAATTAGTGAGTTCACTGCTAGTAGTCAGGCCCTACAAAGAGTATGAAAGGAGTTCTTCACACTGAAAAGGAAGGGCAGCTAGTAGCAGATAGGAAGCCAGTCCAGACACAGAAAGACTACGGGGAAAGGTAAATTTGTGAGTAAATAGAAATCAGTGTACATATAAAATTGTACTGCTTTTTGTAACTCATTTTCCTCTTACCAGATTAAAAACAACTGCATATACAATAAGTATAAACCTGTGTTAGTAGGCACACAAGAAAGGTGCAATTGTGACAACAGAAGAAAAGGAAGATTTAATTAAAAAAGGAAAATAGTTTCTGTATACTAGTAAAACTAAGTTCACGTTAAAATTGCTATAAATTAAGATAATAACTGTAATTTGTACAACCACTAAAAAAACTTTAAAAATTCTAACAGAAATAAAAATATAATTAAAATATTACCTTAACAGATACCTATTTAATACAAAAGATACAGAAATGAAGGAATAAAGAAGCAAAACAAGGCACAGAGAGCAAAACAACAGACATAACTCACCTTAACAGCAATTGTAGTAAAGGTAAATAGACTAAGTACTTCAATAAAAGAAAGCAGCTAATAAAACGATTTCTTAAAAGTTCTCTTGGGGCAGAGGAGATAACTCAGCGGCATAAATGCCTGCCTGGCAGGCTCAAGGTCCTGAGTTTGATCTCCAGTACCAAAAAGAAAAAGTTATCTAACTATAAGTGCTGCCCAGAAGGGCACATTTTAGACTAACAGTTTGAAAGTAAAAGAGTAGAAAGTATATCATACAGCCAGTAACCAAAAGAGACCTGCAGCTTCCATACTTGCATAATGAAAGTAGACTTTTTAAGTCAAAAGTTGCAGATGAAAATCTCAATTAATCAGGAAGATGTAACAATTGAAAATACATGCACATCTAATAACAGAACCCGCAAACACAGGGAAGAAAATGTATCATAATTGAAGGGAGAAACTGAGAACTCAATGATAATAGCTAGTGTTTAATACCCCATCTTCAGAAAAGCATACCACAGATGTGAAGAAGACAATCAAGGAAATAGAACACCTGAATAATACTCTAAACCAATTAGACCTGAGAGCCACCGATAAAACATCCCACCTAAAATTAGCCAGTACATAGCCTTCTCAAGAGCATATGGGACTTTCTATAGGATAAACAATATGGCATGTCATAAAATAATCCACAGTAAATTTAAAAGTGTTTCAATAAGTCAAAATATGTGTCCTTCATATACAGGAAATAAAATTAGAAATCAGAGGAAATTTAATTTTTTTAAATCATGGATATGCATAAATTAACACTACTAAATAAATAGCCAATGATGCTGTTATGGAATGAACGAATGGTGTCCCCACAATTCCATATGTTGAAGCTGTAATCAATACTTTGGGTATATTTCAAGAAAAAAGTCTTATAAATATTATCAAAGTTAACTGAGATCATAAAAGTGGTGTCCTAATGTTATAGGACTGGAGTCTTTTGTAAGAGATGACAAAAAAATCACTTTTTGTCCATTTGAGTATAGAGAAAAGGCCACAGATAAGGGTAACTTCCAAATAAATATTAAAAATTATATAAATGTAAATACATTTTGTTTGAAACTCTTTTTACTCTAATCTGAAAACTTTTCCTCTTATTGTGGCCCTCAGCCTAGAAGAGATATCTCCTAGAAGCCAATCCTGATGGTTCAGTACCTTGATCTTACACTTTTAATCTTCCTAAATGGATAAAAACAAAATTATCTGTACCTTAGTTGCTTCCTTATTTCTGGGACAAAATACTTTGCACCCACATGTGGAAGGAGAAAAGTGTTACTTTTGCTAGCAGCTTGTAGAGGTTTCAATCCATCATTAGCTGGCTCCAAGGTAAGGTGGCATCGCAGAGTGGGATGGAAGAGAAGAAACAGTCCACAGCAGGGCAGGCAGGAGGCAGACCACCTTGCACCTGTTTCTTTTTTTATTCAGGCTACAAGCCTATTGGTTGGTGCTAAGCACACCTATGGTGGTCTTCCTTCTTCAATAAATGAATGGTCCACATGCAGAGCTACACTACATTAGTCAGTGGACAAATCCAGTGTCATAGCCACTCCCCAAAGCCCCACCTATGGGCACTTGAGGCTTTGAGGCAGGGGTACCTAGATATAAGTTATAATTCTGTGATTTAAGCTACCAGGTCTGTGGTACGTTGTCGTGGCAGCCCTGTTAGACTAGTAGAGGGTCAAAGATGAAGCACATGTGAAATGTGAAAATATTTTGAGGTTAAAGAGAACAGAAACACAGCATAGTTAGCAAATGTATGAAAATGTAACTAATGCATTGCTTAGGAGAACTTCAGAGCATGAACACCTATCCTAAAAAGAAGAAAGATCTCAAATCGTGTCCTAAATGTCTGCTTTGAAAAACTAGAAAAAGAAGAGCAAATTAAATATAAAGCAAACAGAAAGAAGACAAGAAGAAAACTTTGATAAGATAAAAATAGAAATAATAAAGAAAATAAATAAAATCAGTTTATTTTAAAAGTTGACAAAACTTTGGCTAAACTGACCAAAAAAAAAAAAAAAAAAAAAAGAACATAGAATCAAAGAAGACAAAAAAGAAAAAGAAAAAGAAAGAAAGAATCAAGTCACAAAAAAAAAACAGTAATGTGAAGCAAAAGAGCAGACATCTTTATCACAAATAAAATGTATATATTATGAGGATATACTATTATCTATACTATTACAAAACAATAAAATTCCTAGAAAAAGACAAACTGACTTTAAAAATCCAGAAAATCAAAATAAATTTATAACAAGTAGAATCTAATTAATAACAAAAAAGTAAAATTTCCTTTTAAAATTTTCATACCTAATTAGCTTTCATGGTGATTTATATCAAATATTTAAAGATAAAGTCACATCTCTGCTTCACAAGCTGAAAGCTTGCAAGACTAGATAATATTTCCCAGCTCGTCCCATGAGATTAGTGGTTTTCAGCTACCACGTCCAAGCAGATATCACAAGAAAAGTAAAGATACCTATTCTCTGTAAATGTAAGTAAAAAGAATTACTAACACAACACTAGGAAATTTAAAATGTTAATATAGAAAAAGGATTATACGTCATAATTATTGCAGTAATATAAAGTTAAGAGAATATATAAAAACATGTTAATATCCTATCAATAGATTGATACAAAAATCATGTGACTACATAAGAATCTCTACAAAATCTGACACACTTTCATGCTGAAGTAGTGGACAACTGAAGAATAGAAGGCTCTTGCTCATCTGGACAAAAAGCACTGAAAAGCCCCACCGCGCACTTGGCGCCTCGCTGTCCAAGAGGAAATATTCTCGCACAGATCAAGGACAAGTCCCAGCCCAGGCGCAGCGTGGGCCGGACCCTCTCCCAGCCCCTCGGGCAGCCCCCCACCACTCCGCAGTGCCTCCCCCACCCCGCCCGCCGAGTAGGATTTTCTGCCGAGTTCCGGGAGCCCCCAGACCCAGT